AGTCCGAGGGTTGCAGGCTTGTTTGTGACATCACATGCCAAATGACTTGGAGCGCTCTCGTGGCCTCGCAGTATCTATTCGGAGACGTCTCCGACGGTAATAGACCAATCAAAATGCTGTGTGCCTCTAGATCAAGTAAAAAAAATTGAGGGGTTACAGTGGGTATGCCCCCCCCCCTCCTGTTTTAATCCACAATTTGATATTTTGCAGTTAAGTTTGAAATTTTCTGGGAAATAATTGATTTGCGACAGTTTTAGTGGCTATATGTGTGATCTGCAGCAAATAATACGCAGTTTGACCCCCCAAAGCAGTGCATCTGTGTGCGGAATGCGTCTCCGAATAGTTCCTGGGTGCTCGGCGGAGACGTCTCCGACGGTAATAGACCAATCAAAATGCTGTGTGCCTCTAGATCAAGTAAAAAAAATTGAGGGGTTACAGTGGGTATGCCCCCCCCCCCCCTTTTTAATCCACAATTTGATATTTTGCAGTTAGGTTTGAAATTTTCTTGGAAATAATTGATTTGCGACAGTTTTAGTGGCTATATGTGTGATCTGCAGCAAACAATACGCAGTTTGACCCCCCCCCCCATCGCCACTGTAGTCGGACTGCTGTGTGCGGGAGTGCGTCTACGAATAGTTCCTGTGTGCTCGCCGGAGATGTCTCCGAATATCTTCCGCCCGTGGCCTAGAGGTTAAGGTGTTCGCCTCTCATTCAAAGGTCCCGGGTTCGAATACGGGTAGCAATGGAAATATTTTCTTCTCTAAAATTATCTCCTTTCACTTCCTTTCATGCTGTCTTGGAATGTTCTGTCGTCTGCTTTCGTCTTCACCTCCTTTGCCCCCTCCTCTGGGCTTCTGACTCTTTCTGCAGCCTTTCTACTGCTACTCTTTGGCTCCTTCTTACTGCGGTCTTTCAGCCACACCCCCGATCTTGACGTAGGAAAGATCTACACACCTAGCCTTTTCGGACAAAGGCAAAAAATCTCGGAGGTCCCGTGTGTAAGTTGATCCCTTGGTAGTCTAAAATCGATAAGAGTAGGCTTCGGCCGCCACCCAGGCAAAATTCAAAATTTCCTTCCAACTGTGAAAGTTTGGTGTGTCCCGCGCGCTCTTAGGACCTTATGCAGTTGTGAGCGCGTAAAAGACTTACCAAAAAAAAATTTTTTAAATTAAAAATCATAAAAATGACAGGCTTGTTTGTGATCTCTCAGTCATCCAGTCATTACAAAATGGCGGGTGAGCAAAAATGAACGTGCTGCCAAAACTGATCAACGTGGCTACAAACTTGCAAAGAACAGCTCCGTGCTTTCTTTCTCCCATGTTTGGCACTTTGAGGTAGGCTATGCCGACAACTCCATACCGGTGTCTGTAGAGTAGCGGTAATGCTCCTACGTACGGGGTCAGAATATGGGGTCACAGGCCCGCCAAATGAAGAAATTTTGTTTTCTAAATTACTCACTGATCTTTAACACAACGAGAAATACAATGAATATTGCCGTAAGTTTTAGTAACAACATATTTTAGCTAACGCCAGAAGTTATATTATGTGATTTAATAAGAAATATCTTTGAAGGGGGGGGGGGTGGTAAGTTAGACTAAGCCTAAGTGGAAGAAACTAGTTTTTTAAAAATGCTGTTCCTTCAAAGAGGCTGAAAAGATTGATTTTGAAAAATCATAATTATAGCAAACCCACCCTTTGAAATTGAACATTTCGGGAAAATCGAAAAAAAAATTGCCCCAAAAAAAAAAAAAAAACCAAAAAAATCACCCACCAGCCCCACCTCGCATTCATCGAGTTTGAAAAGTGCTAACTTAAAACGGAACATCTGGAAATAAAAGCGCCAAAGTCTTCGAGGGGTCGGGGATAAAGGTGCCGCAAGTCGTTGTTTTCTTTTATGACCCCCGCCACAATGTAGGTCACACCCAGGACGGAGCACCCGGTAACACTTCGTCTGGACATCCCCCCCTCGTCCCTGGCCAATGTCCTACAGGATGAAATA